GGCAAAGGCAGTGGAACTATTACTTCACCACCATGATGGTCTGTTCAATGACATTCACTGTGGCAGTATGACTCTCACTGTATGAGTGTGCCACATGCGATGGATTTGCAGACGGGAATCACCAGCCAGGTGTAGAACGGATATTCCCTGTCATCAAACAGCTACTTCTTAGTACAACACATTAGCTGGAAAATTGCTGGAATTTCTGACTGGCACATGATCATAACATAATTTGAACTATTGCCAGTAATAGTTGGCATAGACCAGTATAATGTTCTAGGTGTGGTCACAAACCAACAGCACAATGAGTGAGTTGTACCTTTGTAGTTCCAGTACCTCTGCCCATTAAGTTACAGTATCCAAAATGTGATAGGTGTGCATTTGTTAGTTCTCTGCACTATGGGAAAGGCTGCTATTTTAACAAACGTTTTCATTCACTCTCTTGACTCCTCTGTTTAGACAGATAACAATGAAGACCCTTCTGTTGGCATGCTAAACCTCTGTGATGTCTTGGGTGTAGTGATGTATGGTGGGCTGCAAAACCTCTGCTACCTTATCTGTTCAGACTGTAAGGATTTGCTGGTGGAAAAGAAATTATGTTCAGTGTCACTTTAACAGCCACTGGGAGCTGATTCCCCAAATGAAATACTAGGTGCCTGTTATTCAGTACATTCCCACCTCAGTATGCCTCTAGTACAGATCATCAAATCACCCTCTTGACTGTAATCATCATCATGTTCTGTGGCCAGAGGTCTTTTCAAGAGACTCTATCTACCTCTTTGGTAAGCATGGCCTCTGCAGACACTGTTACTGGCTTGGGTGGAGATAAGAAAACTGCTCCCTGAAGATCCTATGTTACCAAGTCCTCCTGCTGAGCTTCCTCCTCCCTTGGCTTGTTTTCTCTGTATTGGTTGTGCTGCCCTCTGATTCCATAGCCTAAGTGGACAGTGCAACTGTAACTCCATAACTAACAGTGAGTGGGTAGTATTAATCAGAAGCACACAATGCTTTTCTAATGTCCAACATTGCTCTCCTGAGACTTAACAAACCTTTCAAACTTTTTCCCATAAGCAAGTGCTTCCACAAATTTGACAAGAAAAAGCAACTTATCTGCACGTTAGATAGTGATGCTTTTAAAAGCTATTAGCAAAGGGTACCTCATGCTGTTGATACATATTTAAGAGAAGGTGGTACCTGGGCTGACAAGGTTCAAAATAGCAAGTTGGACTTCAAATGAGTGTTAGCCTCTGATTTAACTGTCTGTCTACTTGGCGTAGTTCTAGCATATGCTCACATGGGCAATGCTGAACATGGTCAGGCGTTGCCTTAGTAGCAATTTTCATATTATTCAACAACCACAGTGCCGAATCAGAAATTTTGCCACCTTACCCTTTAATTACTCTTACTAAACTCTTCACAATTCAAAATTTTTGTTCAAATCTTCCCTTAATCTTCTCTGTCCCGATGAGAAAATTTCCTGCTTCTCCAGTCTATCCATGTAACAGCAATTGCTCACCACTGGAACCAGGATATCAGTTAGTTTAATGTTTGCATGGTCACCTGTGCTACTGCTATCATTTGACAAAGTGCCAAAAACACATTCACAGAGGTCTAGAATGTTTATGTGCATATGAAAATTATTAATATGCAAACCATTACATGTATATCTAATTTAACAATTCATCAAAGTCTTATCCTGTAAAGATTCTATGCCATTGTCTTTAAAAATAAGCATGTACCGCATATCCCGTGAGGCATTAATTTGATAAGTCTCAAGAGTCCTGCTGTTTAAATGTTTATGCTGCTTTGGGGTTTCCTCTTAGGAACTCAAAGCAACTCCATACATAGTCAGCATTCACCATTTTCATGGCCGTGAGGACTAAAGGAGAGTACAGCACTAATTTTCTTCCCTGTCCTTGCAAGCTTCTGCCCTATCTTCAATCTCTCTTTCCTTTCCAAAGTCCTTGAATGTGCTGTTGCTTCCGATATAAATACAGTGCCTACAAGGGCATTGTATTCCAGACTCCCCAAAGTGTGTCTACCATTTACATGGCACAAGCCAGAAGTGTGATGGAATACTCCCCACTTGCCTGGATGGGTGTAGGTCCAATAGCACTCTAGAAGCTTGATACCATCAAGGGCAAAGCAGTCCACTTGATAAGCACTGCTAAAATTCACCAAAGATCCTTAGACAGCACCAAAGATCCCAAACCCACAACCATTTCCACCTAGAAGGACAATGGCAGCAGATACATGGAAACACCACCACCTTCAAGTTCCCCTCCAAGCAACTCACCATCCTGACTTGGAAGTATTTTTTTTTAATTCACTTGTGGGATGTGGACATCGCTGGTTGGTCAGCAATTTTTGTTGCCCGTCCCTAGTTGCACTTGAGAAGGTGATGGTGAGCTGCGTTCTTGAACCACTGCAGTCCACATGCTATAGGTTGATCCACAATGCACTTAGGGAGGGAATTCCAGGATTTTGACCCAACAGTAGTGAAGGAATGGCGATATACTTCCAAGTCAGGATACGTCATCGTTCCTTCATTCAGAGCAGCTAGGGACCAGCAATAAATGCTGGTTAGCCAGCGATGCCCACATCCCACAAGAGAATATAAAAAAAAATCCACGTCTGCCCTCCCTGGAACTCCATGTTTGAATTTCTTGAAACAGGTTTTCACCCCTGTACCAAACCAGATTTTATCAAAGTCTTAATGGGGTCTTATGTGAATGTGACAAAGACCATCCATCTTTTCCTATTCTTTAACTTTGGTGTAGCCTTTGACATGTCTCACCACAGCATCCCCCTCCAGTGTCTCTCACTGTTGTCTAGCTGGGTGGAACTGCTCTTAACTGATTCCTGATAGACAGCTCTACATCACTTGCTTGATTCCTCAAGTGTTGTTAAATGACAAGACTGTTTATCCAACATTCAGTATATTATAGCAGAAATTTCCTCCAACTAAATATTAGGAAGATTTAAACCATGTTTTGTTTTAATCTCTGCTCCAAATTCCAATCCCCTAGCTACCACCTCTATCCTAGCATCATTTTGAGACTAAACCAATCTGTTTGTAACCTTTGTGTCCTATGGCTCTCAATAGGATGATGAGATGATATTCCAACATCTTATTCAAGCCATCACTAAGATGCAGTTCATAATGCCCAAATGTGCCCCTGTCTTATGCCACTGAAACTTTCATTCATGCCTTTGGTACCTCTAAATGTGATATTTCAAAGCACTCCTGGCTGATCTCTCACATTCGACACTCAACAAAATTGAAGTCATTCAAACCTCTACTGACAATGTCTTAACTCACATCAGATCTTGTGCATCTATTAGCCTGTGCTTGCTGACTTACATTGACTCTTGGCCAAACTATGTCTTGACTTTAATCTCCCCATTCTGTTTTTCAAAAGCACCATCACTCAATATCTCTGTAACCTCCAGTCTTACAACGATCCAAGCTATCTGTGCTCATCTAATTCTGGCCATTTTAATCACTCCAGCATTGATGACTACACCTTCAGTTTTGTAGGCTCCAAATTCTGGATTTCCTTCCTTCACCTCTCCTGCTGTTCACCTCACTTTCTTTGGCCTTGGCATTCCTCCTGGACCAAGCTTTTGGTCATCTGAGCTAATACATCTTCATATGACATACTGCCCCACACTTTGTTTTATAATCCTCCTGTGAAGTACTTTGAGATGTTTTATCAGATTAAATGTGTTAATAGCTGTTGTTACTGCATCCAGTTAGTATTAGAAAAGGAAAATGGTCCTCTAATCTTTAAAAGAAAAGTTTATTTTCCAATTCTATCTCCCACTTCTTCCTAAAATTTTTATCATAGACCTAAACAACTCTAGTTCAACACAAATGGTTTTACCCTTGTTTTATTTAGAGTGCTAATTCAGTCAGACAAGAATCAACAGACGCTGTTATGAGATTGCAATATATAAACTATTAATTTTTAATTCTATCAATTGATTTACCTGGACCTTTTGTCTGAAAGAAAACAAATTCAAATTTGCTTTGTTTTCTCTGCACTGTTTTAACATGTTCATATTGTTTTAAAATGGGTCCAGTGTTTATCCAACCCACATGAGAATGCAAAATTCTGACACAGATTAACAGTAATCATGTATGAATAGAATTTCATCTTCAGAATTTCATATTTTCCATTGTTTGAAATATCTAGAAATCCTAAAGCCAGTAAGCAAGAGTCACCACCTGCAAAAGCTGCCAGAGAACAAGGAGACCTACCAAAACCCACTATGCCAAAGGGTGTTGACGACTGTTTCAATGGCATATTGATAGCTTTGACAACAGAAGACTGAAATTTGTTGATTAACATGGGTTGTCTCCATTGTGTGTTGTAACATGGCTGAAACTCCTCTTTGTGAAAACATATAATTATATGCAATACTGTTGATGACAGAGTGAATAATATCAAGAAGATCTGCAGGATGGAACGGAAGCAGCTCTCTCCCAACAGTTTTTTTTGTCAAACTCCAGCCATATATCTGTTAGAAGTTGGAATACATCACAAAAAAAAATTCAAAAATAAAGGAAATTCATATGCCCTAGCACCCACTCTTGAAAAGGACTGTCTGCAGTTTAAAAGAGACCATCACCAGAAAATCAAGAGATAGTAGGAACTGCAGATGCTGGAGAATCTGAGATAACAGGGTGTAGAGCTGTAGTCACTGTATTTTGCACAGAAGCGAAGGCGAATGGGAAGGATTTTATTCGCGCGACTGCAAAGTACGAATTGATCAGGATGCTTGTGGTTGCACACATTGGGTGTACTGCTTTTCACTCAGCACTTCAGCTGACGAAAGGGTTGCACTCCAGAACTTTGTGATTTCAAATAAACCTGTTGGACTATAACCCTGTGTTGTGTGATTTTTGACTTTGCAATCAGCAGAGCATGACAGACAGCTGGGCTGTGTCCCCGCCTCCCTGGATTGATTGGTAGGTGGCGCGCATGCTCTGTGGGCGGCGAATACGTCCGTTGTTTGGTTTAGTGTCGGTGGTTGTTTGCTGAGTGGGTCAGAAGCCGGCGGATAGCGGGTAAGGATCTTTCCACCGCATCGTCTCAGTTTTGATTTCATAACTCCTGCGTGTATATGGATCGAGTTTATATAAGGGATAGAGACCGTGCTGAGAATATTCCCTTATCTGGAAGTTTCCACAGGACGTTCGAAGTGGAATGTTAAACGGTCATGAAACCTCTGCCTCAGAGCTTGGGTGTGTCTCTCATTTAACTTCATTTCTCCCCCGTAATAAGCAGGATTGTTTATTTTCAACGACAAGATTCAAGCGCATCCTTCGTAAGAACTATATACACTTTATAATCTGCCAGCACGTGTCTATCCACTTCAAAATAAAAGCAGGTTTCCGCACTCCAGAGTCGGTTTAAATGTTCACTTTTTCGCAAGTTCTGACTTGCTTGCATATGTTATCCACTCTTCACTGTCACTTATTTTAAATGAACAGGTCAGACTGCCCCAGGGAGGGGCCAGTGACAAAAAGCAAACATCAAACGGCTAATAGAAACTTATTAGATTTTACCAGGGGGTGATAACACACCCTGGTCGCTGTGGAGAACATCGGTCGTGGAAGGCCTTTATCAGGCCGATAGTTTCTCCAGTTTTGTCGCTGAGTTTCATGCCGTTGTGGAAGCCCGCTTTAAGAGAACGGCCCCACGTATGGGACTGGCATGCCAGACAAGGCAGAAACGGTAAAGGTGACAGGTTTCGTCGCCTGAAGGATGTTCATATACCGATTAACTTTTTTTTATTATATTCCAATAGCTACTTAATGACACCAGCATTTCATTTCTAGACACTTTGAGCTGAATTCAAATTCTCAAACTCAACTGCTGGAATTTGATTTATAATTTTAATCTAGTCCAGACCTTCAGTCTGATGACACCACTGCAATGTTTAACTTTTATCATCTGGCACAAAGTCCGAATCGTTCTTACTATCTGCCAAAGTAACTGGTTGTTCTGCTTATCTTCCATTCATAAAGTAGTGTGAACACTCTTTTTTATTGTCTGTATCTGTACATTCATTGCAAAGCAAAGTTTTGTGCGGGTCTAGGCCCGAAACGTCAGCGTTACTGCTCCTATGATGCTGCTTGGCCTGCTGTGTTCATCCAGCTCTGCACCTTGTCTCTAAAGTTTTGTGTACTTGGTTAGGTTAAAGAAAACACTATTTTTGTCATGTTACTTACAAATACCTTCAAGTAGAACATGTTAGAACAGCCATTACATCAGGGCAGTGGTGGTGTTTAACACTTTTAAAATGTTTTTTGAGCCATTCTTTAGTGTATGGTGGGGTACAGCTTTGAAAATTGGTAACATCGTTATATTCACTTTTGAAACTTTGAAGGGGCTTTCTGAGGGGGACTGAATTTGAGACATAATTGGTGCAGATTAACTTTATTTTTGGGTAAGGTGGATATTTAGATGTTTTGAAGTTGATTTTTCTCTTCTGGGCAATGGAACAGCCATTTCCTAATGGGAGGAAGCTAGTTTAATTTAAATGAAGTTGCTCATTTTTGTCAACTTTGACAGTTTTTCAGTTTTTTTTATACATTCTATTGTAAAAAGATACAGCACAGGTGACCAGTGTGAAAGATTAATCGGTTCCACTTCCAGTTTTTTTCCCCCCTCTAAAGCCTGAAATTAATTTCCCTTTTAAAATAATTATTGAACCTGATTCTACCATCCTTTCAAGCAGTACATTTCCAGGTCATGACAAAACTTAACATTCAAGTTGACTCTGGTTGTTTCGCCCATTTATTAAAGGTATTATTTGGCTACCATGTTTTCTGCCAGTGGATGCCGAACAAAGAGAAAAATTTATAAAATTGTTCATAATTTTGAACACTTCTGTCCAATCTCATCTTGACTTTCTCTGCTTGTAAGGTGATCAACCTGAGTCTTTCCAAATCCTTCACATAACTGAAGTCACTCATCCTCAGGACCATTCATGTCCCCTTTTCATAATTTCTGTTTCTCTTTTTGTGCTGCCGAGAGTTGAACATTATGCGGTAGCTGTATCCTATCTATTGATTTGTAAAAATTCATTTAGCCTAGGTCTTGTTTTGTAGTTTGGAACTTTACCCTTCTTTAGACTTTTGTAGACTTTACAGGCTTGCTAACTTAAGTTTCCACCTTCAATTTTTTCTGCATTAGTTTAGTTCACATTGTTTCTCTTTCTGTTTACAGATTTAGATAAGATATTTAAATAGAATTTGATTTTTGGGACTTGGTACCTGTCTTTATTGGGTATGGGAGGTGGTTCAGCGTTTGTAACCTGTTCTTTCTTTCTGTTCGGTCTTAGTTGGCCTGTACTACAATTCCACAACCTATTTACCTGCTTTCTTTCTTATCCTTGGATGCCGTTGCCTAGCAAAAGTCCATCAATCTCGGTCTTCAATGTGTCAACTGACAGTTTTTTTTGTGGTATGACATAGGTTTGGAGATATCGTACAGTGCAAGCAAATCCAGTTTTTTTGACGGGCAGAGCATAATTGAGCTCTACTTTGAATTTTAGTTTCAGAAGGTGACTTGCTGAGTTTGGGGCTGTTAGAGGATATATACCATGGTTAAATGTGAAAAGAAATACAGAATGCAGCAGCTTGGTGGGTTTAAAATGAGATGGAAAATTGTGTGTATTGCAACTTTAGTGTAATCAAAAGAACATCTGCATTTATTAAATAGTGGCCTTTGCAGGTTTAATGTTGGAAAGCAATGCTAACACATATGCTATTATACTTTGAGACCAGAGTAGAGAAGCTGTCTCTTCCACATAGCAAGGAGATAAGCTGAGGAGGATTGTTAATTAAGTTGATTTCAGATTCTGATGGTTTTCTGACAGCCTGATAGCTTTGCAAAATATGTACTATATAGCGTTTGCAATATGGATTCTTAATCAAGTCCTGGATTGAAGTGCAAGTTGTAATTCTCATAAATATGCATTTACAGTATTAAATTGAAATGTTTGGCTAATATGGGAGTAGTGTGTTCGGAGGAAGATTGCATTGGCAGTCTTAATGTGATGATCCCTGTTGAGTAATGTGTGTGAATTAGCTGCAAGAGAGCCACTCATGCTTATTTGAATTTTATAGTAACAAATGAAATTATATAGCTAATTTCAACATTAATTGATTGTCAGGTGTTTTTACAGTCAGTAAAACAGTATGCACTTGGTAACTTCCAGATCACGTAGACTAACTGTATTGGAAGTTTGGTTTGAATTATGAATTGATAGTCAGCATTAAGGAAATCAGTTTTTGGTGATCAGTCTGCATGCAAAGAAATGCCTTGAAGTTTCACTGGGATTTGTAACTCTCTACTCATGTCAGCTGTTGTTACGTGAATAGTTGACTAACAGACATGCACAGTAATCTGACTTAATCCTGAAGAAAGGTCAGTTAACGGTTTTTTGCATGAAACAAGTTGACAATTCTGGAGGCTAATTCTCAAAAGTAGTTGAGAATTCTAAAATTATGATTGACATTTCACTTAATCACTGTCTGTTGGCCCTCCTTGTTAAGCTTTATGATATTTTGTAAAATTTTTCACTTAAACCGGTTCCATTGTGTTTCCTAATTTCTTTTATGTTGCTCTGCCTGTAAGTATGTGTTGCTTCTGCATGCTGGGATTTAACCAGAGCATTTGTAAACCTCTGCACCTTGGGTAAGCACTTGAACTACCACTTGATACAATTACTGTCGTGTTTGAAGGTGTAACATTGCCCATTGAGTGACTGCATCTGATTGCCTTCTATTTGTTGAAGAAAGTTTCATATGTCCTGTCTGATGAGAGAACTTTATCCTGCACATATGTGGACACAATTATTGTAAGTTGATGTTAAGCCATTGATTAATGTGCTATAAAATTCCATGTGACCCATGTTTGCATCTATTCTTTGGATAAGTTGTTCAGTTTAGTTCCACACCCCATCTTTTTACTCAACCTGTATATCAATTATATATCCAACTGCTTTGAATTACTGTAGTCTTTTCATCCTCCTTTCAGATAATGCATTTCAGACCTTGCCAACCCTGTGTGGAAAATGATTTCTCTATATTTTCTTTCTTGCTTTTGCAATTCAAAGATTAAGAAGATTTGTAGCTCGAGTTGTGGATGAGGATGTAGACTTGCTTGCCGAGCTATTTTTGGGTTCGGTTGTAAGTGTTTCATCACTCTACTAGGTAACTTCATCAGTGTGCCTCCAATGAAGTGTTGGTGTGCTGTCCTGCTTGTTCATATGCCTCGGTTTGTTGGGGTGGTTGGTATCACTTCTGGTTTTGTTTTTCAGCGGTTTGTATATCAGGTCCAGTTCAGTGTTTGATGGAGTTCCAATTGGATTGCCAGGTCTCCAGGAATTTGCTGGCATGTTTTTGTTTGGCTTGTGCTGTTATGGATGTGTTGTCCCAGTCAAATTTGTCCTCCTTTGTCCATCTGTTTTGAGACAGAGAACTGGTTGTGTCTCTTGGTTGCCGGTTGGTGTTTGTGTAATGAGTATCAAGGTAGCCCACCTTACGACAGCCACTGACAAACACACAGGATGCCATACCCACAAACAATAAAACAAATGTAATGTACAAAATACCATGCAAGGACTGAAACATTACACAGGCCAAACTGGAAGAAAACTGACAATAAGAATACATGAACTCCAATTAGCTACCAAGAGACATGACCAGTTCTCACTGCTCCCAATACACACAGACAAAGGACATGAATTTGACTGGGGTAACACATCCATAATAGCACAAGTCAAACATAGACATGCCAAGGGATTCCTGGAGGCCTGGCATTCCAATCAGAACTTTAACAACAAACACATTGAACTGGACCTCATCTACAAACCACTGAAAAACAGATCCAGACGTGAGATAACAAGGTGTAGAGCTGGATGAACACAGCAGGCCAAGCAGCATCAGAGGAGCAGGAAGGCTGACGTTTCGGGCCTAGACCCTTCTTCAGAAAAATTTTTCTGAAGAAGGGTC